TATATATATATAATATATATATATATATATATATATATATAATATATATATGATATATATAATATATATATATATATATATATATATATATATATATATATATATATATATATATTTACATATATACATATATATAAGAATAAAAAGAAAGAAAACTAAGCAGGAGGAAGGAGAAATAAATACTTTGACGTCAACTTAACCAGCAAAACAAACCGCCATGTTTACATTTCCCTCGCTTGCATTCATTTAATCATCTATAAATATTTTTGGAGAGTTTTTCGACACTGCACATTAGATCAGATTAGTGCCATGTGTTCTAAATCTCTGTATAGTTATTTTGATATACTAGATATTTTTCTTGTAATAATTTCACACACTTAGTTCGCGTAGGAAAAAAAATAACGAAATCACTTCTTTAAATCTAATTTTCATATATTTACTTTTTTATTTTACATTATCTGTTTATTTAGCTCCATTTAGATATTTGTTCGCTTACATATGTTTTTTTTCTGTTGGATAAATGCTTCATGACAATGCAATTGAATGCATCATCAATAAAATGATAATGATAATAATAGCAATAATAGTACAATTTTCTGGCAATATGTTTTACAGAATTGAAATGCTTAATGCGAATATTGAAAATGTTGGGCACTTTGGTTGTATTTCCTGGGAAATAGTACCTAATGGTAACTATTATATAATGACGAAAGTGGATAATGAAGGAAATATTATTAACGACGTAAATACTTCGTTATGGTTATCACACTTAACTATATCAAAATCAAAATGAAGAATAATTGCAAAAATTAGCTGAAACAAAAATATTTATACTTTCTGAAATCCGTTTCTCCTTAATGACTGGCTCATTCACGCCATATGCATTGCTTGTTATTTGTGACAATCACTTGCCAGGCTAAATTATATTATTTATTAGTTTTTTATTTCATTCTCACTTTTTTCTTTATACGAGGGCAAGAAATTTTTAATGTTGCGCGATTACGATTTATCTTCTTTTTGTCGACATTGATTAAAAAGGAACCTTGTTTCTTATGGTTTCAACCATTCGTAAAAAAAATATATATATATTGCTTCTCTGTTGATATTTACAGAAGCTGAGAAGGTTTCCGTGGTGTGTAAATAAAAAAATGCGCCGAAATTGAGAACTTAATACGAGCGTCCATTATTATTTTTTTTTATGAAAACAGCGTGATAACTGGAAAATTTTGCCTCTGAAGATCGATTTTTGGTTGTGAATTTTGATATGAGGCTTGTTTAAGAATCTAAACTAGGGGTAAATATGAATGAACAGGATACAAAGCAAAATAAATAAGCTAGACATCGAAGGTAATATAGCACAATAGTGAGCTGCAGTAGTGAAAATACGTTGATTATTGAAGCAAAAGTCAAAAGTTGAATTCGGAATAGTATGCCATTAAAAGGGGCAAGGAGAGGTGAGAGCAGAGAGGGCGTGTAAATGGACTAAGGTAGTCTTGGCAAGGGTGATTAAATAAAAGGGAATTTACGGGCGATTAGATCAGTTTCTAATCCAGGGAAGGGGGCTGTGACGAGTTTGTATCCAGGGAGAAGCGGAAAGGAAAATGGGGAAGGAAGGAAAGGGGGGATGATGCAGATGAAGATTGGGGAACGGGAAGGAGTGGAAGGAAGGGGTGTAGGGGAACATGAGTAGAAGGATGGAAGTCGGCAGTCTCTTCCTGTGGAGGGAATGGGTGCAGTGAGATCGGAGGATGGAGGAGGTGCAGGCATGTCATCTTAGGTCATGCTTAGATAGTTTTGAATGTCCTTGAGAATTTCTGAAGTGGAGTTGGTTGGAGTTGTCTGAGAAACGAAGGTTTTCTTATGAGGGGGAGAAGAGAGGACAGACATTTGAGGGGCAGAGGAAGAGACTGATATAAGACAGGATGCCATAAATGGAGTGGAACGTTTAGCTTGTCTTTATGTAAAGAGTCGAGTGAGGAAGAGGAGGGGTAGCAACCAATGAAGTAGATTCGTGTTTGGATTTAGAATGGCAAAAGAATGTGACTGGGAGAGGGGTGGGGTAGAAGGGAACATGAGTAGAAGGATGGAAGTCGGCAGTCTCTTCCTGTGGAGGGAATGGGTGTAGTGAGATTGGAGGATGGAGGAAGTGCAGGTATGTCATCTTGGGTCATGATTAAATAGTTTTGAATGTCCTTGAGAATTTCTGAAGTGGAGTTGGTTGGAGTTGTCTGAGAAACGAAGGTTTTCTTATGAGGGGGAGAAGAGAGGACAGACATTTGAGGGGCAGAGGAAGAGACTGATATAAGACAGGATGCCATAGATGGAGTGGAACGTTTAGCTTGTCTTTATGTAAGGAGTCGAGTGAGGAAGAGGAGTAGCAACCAATGAAGCAGATTCGTGTTTCGATTTAGAATGGCAAAAGAATGTGACTGGGAGAGGGGTGGGGTAGAAGGGTGATGAGGAAGAGATATTGGGGGGGAGGGGGGGGAGTAGAGCAAAGGATTGGAGAAGGAAAGAGAAAAACCTTGTCTGTGTGCTGCTTATCTGGCTTTACATAGAGGCAATATTTGAATCCGAGAATTACCATCTCAAACTCAGACTTATAGGTAGGGTAGCCCATGTTAAATATATTATGGAAACCATCACAATTAATACATGTGTGACTATGCAGAACAGGTTAGGCAGATACAGGTATTCGAGCTATGGAGCGGCAGGGTAGCCTAGACGCCAATAATTGACACTGATGGGGGAGTTTTTGCCGGAACATCTAAGGTCATTAGCGGCATTTACAAAAAAAAAAAAAAAAAATAGCAATGGGGTGGGCAAGGCCTGCAGGCAAGAACGTTTTTTTTTTGTTCACTAAAACGATATTTGGATTTCCAGAATGGTCAATGGTCAGAAAAATGTACCAGACGTGTAAGGTCACACAGCATTATGGTAAAGTATTGTGGCGAAGCAGGTAAATATGAGTAAACAATTTGGATTAGTCGAAAGAAGGGGATGAAGAAGAGAAGGAAAAGGAAAGGAGGTATAGAAAAGACTGCAAAATCCACTACATTGGGCCTCAGTCCCCGTCTCCTAAGCCTCCCCCACAACAATGACTAAGGGATGGGGGGGGGGGTATGGTATCGTCACTGAATCGTATTCTACACAGCAGTCTGACAATTCCTCGGGTGAAGTAGTACTACAGGTAAGCCTGATTGCCCCTAATAAAAATACAAAATTTCTACTGGCCATGGTAAGCCTGGAGTAAGAAATGGTCCATCCCTCACGGTTCCCTTCAGGGGTAAGGGCTAGGCAACTAACAGAGGTATACCATGCTCATAGTTTCCCTAGAACGGTCAAAGTCAGTATTTCATCCTTTCAACATGGCTCTCACACCTTAGGAGGTAGACAGTAGATGGGGCTGGAGAAGAGAAGACTATGCAAGGGAGGGGAGGGGAGGATAAGGAAAGAGGGAGAGAGGGAGAGGGAGGGGAGGAGAGGGAAAGAGGGAGAGGGAGGGGAGGAGAGGGAAAGAGGGAGAGGGAGGGGAGGAGAGGGAAAGAGGGAGAGGGAGGGGAGGAGTGGGAAAGAGGGAGAGGGAGGGGAGGAGAGGGAAAGTGGGAGAGGGAGGGGAGGAGAGGGAAAGAGGGAGAGGGAGGGGAGGGGAGGGAAAGAGGGGGAGGGAGGGGAGGGGAGGGAAAGAGGGAGAGGGAGGGGAGGGGAGGGAAAGAGGGAGAGGGAGGGGAGGGAAGGATAGGGAAAGAGGGAGAGGGAGGGGAGGGAAGGATAGGGAAAGAGGGAGAGGGAGAGGGAGGGGAGGAGAGGGAGGGGAAGAGAGGGAAAGAGGAGGAGAGGGAGGGGAGGAGAGGGAGGGGAGGAGAGGGAAAGAGGAGGAGAGGGAGGGGAGAGGGAAAGAGGAGGAGAGGGAGGGGAGGAGAGGGAAAGAGGAGGAGAGGGAGGGGAGGAGAGGGAGGGGAGGAGAGGGAAAGAGGAGGAGAGGGAATGAGGAAGGAGGAGAGAGTGAAAGGGAGGAATGGGAAAGGAATGAAAGCAGGAATGAGGGAGCAGTGTGGAAGAAAGGGCAGAAGGGAATGAGGGAAGAATAAAAAAATGGGAAAAGGAATGAAACAGGAGGTTGTCTGCAGAAGAAAGTATTTTTGTTTAAAATAACATTACATAAAAAAAAAAAAAAAAAAAAATTGTCAATATTGTCAGCACAAACTGCACATCCAAAATTTGTGCTGAGATGCACAATATACACAAAATTTTTTGCTGAAACTAATAACACTAACTTTTGTCCACGTATACAAAATTATTATAACATATAAAAATGATAAAGGCAATCTGTCTAAAACCATAAAACAAGCCAATAAATTGCTTATCAGAGGCCTGTTCTCTAAGGATAGCATTACATACCTAAAATTATTATTCTTAGTTTGGTATATGGATGTATGCTGTTAACCCATTGCCGCCGGGGAAAATGAACAAAAAATGGGTGAAATGTAGTACTCATTTTTTATATTTTTGTGAAATATCTGTCCATAGATGGCTCTGCCAGTCCTGATTTCACCTTTCCTTGAATTAGCGGGAAAAAACGTAGGGTGAACGGGCGAGACAGGCAGTACTCGTAACTGGCTCATTGGATACTTAGTACAAGTGTAGCCATCAATGTGTAAAAACAATCGAACAAATCGACTCATAGTGGGCATGGCATGTACGTACATGCCATCCCCGGCGGCAATGGGTTAAACCTGAAATAACCTCTTTTAGGCAATAATAAAATAATAATAATAATAATAATAATAATAATAATAATAATGATAATAATAAAATATAAATAAAAAATAAAAATGACAATATGGCCTTACCTTCCCCTCAAGATGAACACAAAGGTGAAAGATGAAAGAAAACATAAAAATAGATAATAGTAGTAAAATGCTAATAAGAAATCCTTCCTCTCCTCCATTATGTATCCAGCTGCGTACAGCAAGAGAGGATAACAACAACAAATCTAGTCTGTTATCACTGCTTTAATCAATTATTGACAAATCACTTCACATAAGCTCTTTAGCCTCGTCAGTGCATGGCCGACGATGAGTAACATCTACAACAGACACGTGTGAACTACCTGTTGTGGGGTGCTGTGTGGAATTGTGAATCACCAGTTACAACAGAGATTGTGGTTAAATTTCACAATTCCTGAACAAAGATTAGTTATTCATCAATTCAGTTTTACTTGTGTACATTCATCAAAAGGGTTATGAACTTTGGTGATTATGATGCAGTATAGTAATGGAAAAAAATAAAGTTATACACATTACAATGAAACTGAAATGGCAAAATGCGTATAATTTTTATTTCTGTAGGATTGGCATAACATTATATATTTTTTAGGATTGGAATGTTTAACAAAAACCAATATGGATTCATAAGGTTTGGCTTCCTTATAGAGTTTTACAGATTTAATTGCACTAGGAATGTAATAAACAGAACTATCTTGCTTTTGAACACACCAAAATATTCATGAAAAAATAAAGCTTTATTCTTTTATCCAAAAATTCAAATACACGTATGCAAAAAAACATCATCAACCCAGATACATCAACAAATTTATCAAAAACAAAAACAAACAAACAACAACAGATCACTTTAGCATCAAATTTCCTCACATGACATACATACTCCAATATTCCCATCACCGGGTTTTGTACATCCTCGAAAATGCGCCTAAAGAACACTCTTAAGAAGCGATCATCCCCGCCGTCACCAAATCCACTCGATTTCGCACGGGACTGGAGGAACTTTCAACAATGCTTTCAACTTCTCCCTCTGATTTGTTCTCTCCTTATCTTGCTCCCATCTTCCAACCCCCCCCTATTTCTTCGAGGCTTCTCTTCGCTCCTCCTTCCACCGCAGGCTTGTTTTGCAACCCCATGCAACAGCTGGACTGGCCCTACTGGTTGGCTTTCTTGAAGTATTTGAGTTTCTCTTCTGGGTTGGGGATGATCTGGGGAAGAAAAAGAAAGAAAGAAATGAGGAAAGGCAAGCAAGATGTATATGGAAGAGGTGAAATGGGGGAGGATGAAACAACTAGGTGGAGAAACATGGGGAAAGTAAAACAGACAGACAGGAGGAGAGAGATGGAAATGGTGAAACAAGGTTTATATTGTAGCATTGTAATGAGGACTATTGAGACAAGGTTTATATTGTAGCATTGTAATGAGGACTATGTGAGAGGTGGCTATAAAGATAAATAAGAATTTTTTACACTATGGTGAAACAAGGTTTATATTGTAGCATTGTAATGAGGACTATGTGAGAGGTGGCTATAAAGATAAATAAGAATTTTTTACACTATGTAAATACTGTTACTTTCTCTACCACCACAACTACTACTACTATTCATAATCCCTATAACCGTTATACCTATGTCAATAACATGTACTTATGATAAAAACCATCCTATAAAAAAGCCTATCTGGAAAAAAAAAAAAAAGTGGAGAACATTTGCCCTGTATTCTTTACTATCATGAGTATCCTTAATAAATGCCTATCCAGTCAAATCATGGAAAATGCAACAGGTAAAAAAAAAAAAAAAAAAAAAAAAAAAAATCCAAAAAACCTGACCAGCAATCAGACAGCCACCCACCGTGTCATCCCCAGGCTTCCATCCGGCTGGGCAGACTTCCCCATGCTGGTCTGTGAACTGGAAGGCCTGAACCAGACGCAGGGTTTCATCCACAGACCGGCCCACAGGGAGATCGTTCATGGTGATCTGTCTCAGTACTCCCTTGTCATCAATGATGAACAGGCCCCTGGGGAGAGATGGTTGAGGAGAATGGGATATTAAATAAACTGTGATTTCCTTAACAAAAAAATATTGTTAGTTGTATTGAAGAGACCTTTAGTTTATAGTATATGTAATAAAATTCTTGTATAAAACAAAAATATAGAGACCGGGTACGTAATTATGTCCTATTAATAAACATAATAAGAACCCATAATCAAATTCAAGAATTTTACAAAAATGACTTCTAGTTGAAAAGGATTTTGCAGATCCAACAAGGTGTCAAAAGGAAAAACTTGGGAACTGACACATACCTGAGGGCAATGCCTTGGTCCTCTAGGTAGACACCGTAGTCCTGAGAGATCTTGTGGGTGATGTCAGACAGCAGTGGGATCCTGAGCTTTCCCAGGCCACCATCCTGCAGAAAGAAAAGAATCTGCATGAGGCACAGTAGTAGGGATGAAGAAACAAGTGGGTGAAGTTTTTGGCTTTTCTCTTACAACACCAGTGATGCCATATGCTAATGATAAAAAATAAAGGGGGTGGATTACATTCTTTAACCCAACCTGGACAGGTCATATGTACCAGCGTCAAAGTGCTTGGTCTGCAGGGTACACCTGTACGTGTGGCGATGCACCAGAGCATGTGGAGCAGGACATTCGGCTTGATGCCGCAGACTCCAGTGTCTGGCCATTACAGAAATCACCAGAGTTTATCACGCTCAGGGACTTCTGTTCACCCGGCGGTGATGGGTTAAAGAAAAGTGCATGTCATGGTGTATTTTTAAAAATCTTAATGATGCTTTTTCTGCATCTCATAGGATCAAAGTTACTGATAGAACTGCTGGAAAAAATTGTGTAGGCAATGCCCTGGTAAGAACACCACATATTGTTACTCATTTATTTAAAATGTCTCATTGTTTGTGTAGTCACCCTTCGACTATGTTACAATGAAACTTGCACTCGCTTTACTATATTGGTAAACATGGGGAAACCTGTGGACATATGACACATATTAACTTTTATTCAAGACTTAACTATTAATCCATTTATCAATACGATACATTACTTAACCCTTTACCGATGGGTGGCATGTGTGTACATGCCATGGCATGCCTGGACTATCTGCCGGGTGGCATGTACATACATGGTGCGCATGTCCCGTATTCCGGGGGCATGTATAGCCATGTCATAAGTTTTTTTTGTAACAGTTATGGCAAAATATTTTTTTGCTACTGTAAATGTGATTAAGTAGTTTTTAACACTTTCTCATTTTTCTTATACAATGAGCTTCCGAGGTTTACATCTAAAAAAATTACATAGGTAATCGGTCCCTGCCTTGCGAAATATGCAAGTCACCACGTGACTGTGTGGAGAAATTGTACGTATTTGTCAGGAGGAAGTGGGGGAGGGAGTTGGGGAGATCAAGAACTTGACATAGATGTGCAAAAGGGTCAGGTCATGCAAGGGATCAGGTAGGTCTAAGGTTATGCTTTGGGTGGTTTTAAAGAGATAGTTTGACTCCCCCATTGCAGGACGACCTTGCCCTTGCGTGATACCCTGGATGTTGTTGCGCTCGCCTTTCGTTGATGCTAATTAGTTTGTGCCCTATAGCCTCTTCTTTCCTTTCGATTTTTTCTTCGGCATTAGGATAACTCTCGTGGCACCTTCTGGTGAACTGGACCCCATCTTCGGGCTCGTGCTCGGATGTGGGAAGACCTTTACCTCCCGCAGGGGAGGGTGTGTCTGGGGGGCCTTAGCGTGCCTGCCTTACGGTGCCCCGAGAGTTGCCAATCTGTGTTAGGGACTGGTATGGCAGACCATCTCATGACTGCCACTCATTTTAATTTCGTTTAGAACGAATAGGCAGGTAGGAGCCCCTCCCTTTTGACGCCTTCAGCCTCTTTTTTTCCCGTCTTAAAATTAGCTTTTGCTATTTCTTCTTTCCCTTATCCCGTCATTTCACCCGAGCTATGGCATGATCATGGGTCATGTCATTAAATTAACATTCGATGGAGAACCCATCTCTTCAGAGGTGGCTCTCCAACGAATCTTCACCATCACTGAGGTGGCAGTCGCACACCTCTTTAAAATTCACTCAGGCTTCAAAGTGACAGTTGCTAAACCCGAACAATTGACTCCATTCCTCTCGACTGAAGGCCTCAGAAAACTAAAAGATCATGGTTTTATCGTGGCCAAAAAGATTGACAGGACAATCCTCCCACGATCGTGTGAGTCCATCTGCCAGGAAGTCTCCGACATGAACGGAGTCACTGTGGTTGATGTATATAAACCTCCCGAGTCACGAATCGTCAAGATTCGTGTCTCCTCCCCAGAGGAAGCACAGAAACTTCTCTTGCAAGGGATCATGATGTTTAATACATCGGTCCCACCTTATAACTTAGAACCAGAGTGCTTTATTCATATTGAACAACGCTTACACTGCTACAGGTTTAATCACAGTAAACACTCATGCACACACACACACACAAAGATGCTCTCAATGCGGCGGCGAAGGCCACTTCTTCGCCAAATGCAAAGAGACCATCAAATGTTGCAACTGCAAGGGGTCGCACATTGCAGTTAGCGGATCCTGCCCAAAACGAAAGGAAATACTAAAAGCAAAACGAACTCAGATTAGGGAAAACAAAAACACTATCTCTTACGCAACAACAGTCGCCACACTACCAGCTCATACTAGCTCACCCAGACGACCTGCATCTTCCTCCCGGACAACTCTGCCTGCACCTCCCCAAACAAACACCTACAAACCTAACTCAGACCCAAAAATACAAGCCATAAAACACGTCGCTCTCATCGCTGCTAAATACAATGCAAACAAATTCGCAAACATTGTCCCTATCGTACTACAGAGAAACGGTTACCACAGCATTGTTGTCCCCGAGGAGATCTTTGAAGACAACACAACGCAAACCAAATGAAACAGCACAGGCACTTAACACTACAAGAACATCTGAACACAAACGCAAACAATCCTCGCCACTAAACACACGCCAAAAAAGATAAAAAAGATCCCCCGATCCTGGAAACTCGCTGTCATCGTATGGATGACACCATCTTTGACGACGAAAGTAGCGGCTCCGAGAGCGACGTTGATGACGCTCCGGAAGCCAGGGCGGAGCTCCCCATCCTCCTGGAGGGAGCAGTTGGATTGCTCCCCTCGGGTGGGCGTATGGGGCAGCAAAGTAGTATTGGGAATTGGTCCGCCGATTCCCAGGACATCCGCCCCGTGTCCTGCTCGCAGAACTCTCTCCTTGTACTCGAGGACCCGTCAATCGAGGCTCGATCACGCAGCACACAAGGTGAACCCAGGTAGAATGGGTCCACCCTGAGTGGCATGCTAATGATCATTCAAGCCAATGTAAGGTCTTTTTACTCGATCCATAATATATTTTACAATTTTCTAAAACAAGAATGGCCTGATGTGATCCTACTGAATTCTATAGCCATCACGAATGGCTATAAAACTTGGCACTACAGCTACACATCCAGGCAATCAGGAGATAGAGTGCAAATGGGATCCTGTAGCCCCATAAAATCCACCATCACCCACGAGTTCCTCACCCTCTCATTCACTCACCCTGACTTTCCTTTCCTATATCAGACCTAAAACTAATTTACCGCTTGCTGACTTCAATAAATGATTTAACTACACAAACCTCCCAGTCTTCTTTGCCGGAGATATCAATGCTGCTCACACGACATTACACCACAGCTCTACCAATGCCCATGATAGACAACTCCTTTCTATCCTTGAAACAAAAAGACTTCACTACATAGGACCCGACGTCTTCACCACATACTCAGCGAGAGAAAAGGGCTGCCCTGGCTCTCGCTCTCCCTCTCGCTCCCGCCACCAGCCGAGGCCATCCACCTCAATGCATGTTTTGTCAGAGTCGGAGCCAAGCTCCTCAGATGATGATGGCACTGGGGATGAGGAAATCCCCATCGATGACTCTGAACCCGATATAAGCTACGAGGCCCTAAGTGACGACGAGCTGGACTTCGTGTCGCACAGCGAACCATCACTCGACTCTACACTGGACAGTGACGAGCCACTTGTCGCCCATGTGAACAGGTCATGGAACTCCAATGCTCCTGGGACTCCAGAATTTAGGTGGAGAAGGAGGGAGAATGTACCCAGGAAGTACAGTTTTTCTGGTAGCCCTGGTATCAAGGTTGACCTTCATGAGGACTCTACTCCACTTGATGTATATCAGGAATTTAACACCGCTGAGTTGATGGACTACATAGTGGAAGAGACCAATAGGTATGTAGAGTTGATTCACATAGCTTTTCTTTTTTGCACATTACTGCTTTATCCAGATACCCAAAGGCAGTAAGTGTACCCACATCAACTGATGCATTCCATTTGCTTGTTGACAGATTTGCAGAGGCGAATGAGGCGGCACGGAGCCACGGACGGTGATGGCATCTGCTGACGAGTCCCGAACTCCATGTATACCTGGGCCTCAGACTGTTGATGGGCATCAACAAGCCCAGGTTGACATTTTACTGGTCGCGGAATCCGGGCATGACGATGCCAATTTCCCCCTCGACCATGCCTCCCAAGAGGGGGAGCCTGAAGAGGAAGACCGCCTGTGGAAGCCAAAGGAGGCTACACCGTCTTCGTAGACAACTGGTATACGTATCCTGTCCTCTTTCAACTACCTGCAATCCAGGAAGACTGGTGCTGTGGGGACCGTCCAACTGAATCGCCAATACATGCCTCGGGACTTGAAGGTACGGAGGCGGGGGGACGTGGACTACCGGAGTTCCCCGACTGGTATGCTGGTGCTGTCCTGGATGGACACCAAGCAAGTAAATATGCTTTCCACAGTCCACAGGTCGCAGATGGTACTGGTTCGCCGCCGTGGAGGTCCACTTGTTGAAAAGCCAGAATGCGTTGTTGCATACAACGACGGGATGAAGGGGATCGACCTGGGAGACCAGCTGGCGCAGTCGTACCCTTCAGTGCGCAGGGCACTGAAGTGGTATAAGATCTTTATTTATCACTATGATCTGGCGACTGTCAACAGCCATGCTGTCTACAAGTACTTAGGAAACAGGTCGGAGCAAATTGACTTCCGTCTAGATCTGGCCATGTCAATAATCAATACCTTTGTCCCTGACATCGAGCTGCACAGTGCTCAAGGGAGACCGGCGATTTTACCTTCCCCTTCCAGGTTTCAGGGCAGGACACGCCACGTCGTAAGAGACACCTGGCGGGAAATATCGAAGGTGTTTCTTGTGCTACAAGGCCGGGAAGCGGAAGATGACTAGGACCATCTGCCTGCCTGTGAGGTCTCCCTGTGCACTGATGGGTGCTTTGAAAAGTACCACGAAAAGAAAATTATATAATGGAAAATATAAAAATGGTGATGGGTACAATTTTGTTTCTTGTTCTCCTTTTTGTAATTGAAAAAGGCAGAAAAGTCCACATTCTGACCTCTTATATAAAAAACAGCAACTTTTATCATTCATAAATAAGCTAAATTCTTTCTTACAAGTCTCGTACGAAAGAAAAAACCCACTAAACTTACACAGTATGACCTCTCATATCAATACAAAGCTATTTTCTGATCATCAAAGTGAAGCTACATTCACTTCTGCTTTTCTTCCTTTTCTGTTGAAGTAAAAAAAAAACAGGGTCTTCCTACTCTTCTTTCCAAATTTTATACTTATACTGACCAATTCAGTCTAGTTCTGCTGTGTGTACCCTGAAGATGCCCCGGAAAACAAGAGCCACCCCTTCTGCTGCCGCCGCCCATCCTGATGACGGCCTTCCACCTCAGCAAGTACCCCTCATTTCTACACTTCCTCGTCGAACAATGAGGTGACAGTGACAGTGACTTCAGCAGTGACAGCATTGGCTTTGATGTCCATCCTGGGGTCAACATCCCCGAGCTGGATGCCCTCACTGATGAGCTCATGGATGTGCTTGTCTGCGAGACAAACCGGTAAATTCACTTAATTTTTTTCAGTTGCAAATACACATTTCAATGAGGGGAGTCATCCCCTGATGACCACCTGTGGAAGTTGAGGCCAGTGATCAAAATTTTCCAGCGCCAATTCTCGTCGGTCTACACTCCTCCTCGGAGGATTACAGTCGATGAGAGTCTGGAAATTTCGGGGGTACTTTGCAGCTGTGACCTTCAACCCCAGCAAGTGCGCGCGCTTCAGGGTGAAGGTTTATAAGCTCGCGGTCAGTGAAGGCCCGAGCCATGGCTACATATGCGCCTTCAAAATTTACATGGGCAAGGGCAAAGGTGACATACCAGCATCCCAGAGGGCTGTCGTGAACTTGATGGGTGCTGCTGGCTTATTTGATAAGGGGTATGAGTTGTATACAGACAACTGGTATACATCCCCTATCTTATTTTATTAACTGCATACTCGGGGCACGAATGCGGTTGGCATGGTTCTTGCCAACTGAAAATTCATGCCCAAAGATCTGTAGGTAAGGGCCAGCGGAAATGTGGACAATCAAAGCACGTTGAGAGGCATGTTGTGCTTCCAATGGCGCGACAAGTATGTTGTAACGATGCTCTTGACTGTTTATAGAAGTGAGATGGTCGCCACCCTGTCCCAGAGTGGTATTGCCCGGAGCAAACCACAAGTAGTCGCAGACTACAACGATGAGATGAAGGGGGTCGATGTGAGTGATCAGCTGGCTTAATCGTACCCGACTTCTCACAAGTGCCTCAAGTGGTACAAGAAGGTTTTGTTCAACCTTACTTACATGGCAGTCGTCAACTCCTTCGCTGTGCACAAGGCACTTGGATGCCATATGACTCAGCTGATCTGGAAGACACTTAGCAAGGAACTCTTGCGGCGAGGAGGCCGTAGTCAAGAGGTCAGGTCAGGTCAGGTCAGGTCACGGTCCCGGTCCTGGTCCCAGTCCCGTTCCCCGCCTCCGGCTCTTCAGGGTATACACTGCCAGATTCAGACACTTCACAGGCGATACCGCTGTTGCAACCTTTGCTACAGTCGTGGCGTGAGGAAGATGACCAAGATGATGTGTTCAGGGTGTTCAGGGTGTTCTCCCTGTCAGGTTTCCTGTTTTGATGAATATCACATCCTGAACGCATCTACGTCTAAGTAATCCTCCTCATGCCATGACTTTGTATATATTGTAAATATAAAAAATTATGAATATATAGGAAATGGAAAAAAATCTTTACATATTCTCCTATACTACACTTTACTCCTTTACACACTAATATCAAATGGCCAGTCAATATCCAACGACTCGCCGCTCCGAGGTATGGTAAGTCAATGCCTGAGCTGTCCATCTTGCCCTGGGATTGGAGGAGTCACAGAAGGTGTCTTCTGAGCACTTGGGGCAGTTCAGAGAAGGAGCCGACTCTACAAGGTGCAAAGCCTTGCTGAGTCCAACTGCGACAGTTAACCCAAATCTTGCGGGTGGCATGAAGAGATGACGGCACCTGACGGCTTTTGCGGTACTCCAGGACTGAAGGAGGATCTTGGACTTGAGGAGGACTCGACGCCCATGGAGATCCTGGACTGTTTCTTCCCTCCTGACCTTTGGCAGACCATGGAGACAGAAACCAACTTGTATGCTCAGCAGCACCCGCCCACCCAATCGTCGCATATGAAGGCCTGGGAAGACACCACGACAGAGGAGCTGAAGAAGTACATAGCTCTTCGTCTGCTGATGGGAGTACAGCCCTGACCAACATACAGGCATTGTTGGTCGGAAAATCCCCTTGTCAACAGCCCTGTGTTCTGCCAGACCATGACGAGGGACCGATACGACTTGCTGACGGCCAACCTCCACTCCAGCAATAATGAAGATCCAGCTGCAGCAGACGACAGGTTGTGGAAGCTTAGACCCGTTTTTGACACTTGCAAAGGACCTTCAAACAAACGTTCACACCAGAAAAGAAGATATCCGTCGACGAGTCACTGTGGGCTTTCAGGGGGCGTCATCATGCTGTGCAGTACAACCCAACAAAAAGAGCAAGATTTGGGTTGAAGGCCTATAAATTGTGTGCAAGTGACGGGAAGGCAGCTGGATATACATCGGCTTTCCACATCTACATGGGGCAAGACCGAAGTGACGTCCCCGCAAGCATGAAGGCAGTTGTCGACCTTATGCATGACGCTGGACTTGTTCAAAAGGGATACCAGATGTACCTTGACAACTGGTACTCCTCCCCTATCTTATTCAATTACCTACAGTTGCGGAAGACAGAGGCTGTCGGAACCGTTAGAATAAACAGGAAATTCATGCCGAAAGACCTGTGCGTGAAAAAGAAAGGCGACACTGACATCAGGACCTCGAGGGCAGGGATGTTGGCAATGTCATGGTATGACAAGAAGCAAGTCAACATCCTCTCTACTATGCATAAGGAGGATGAAATGGTTGACCTCCCACCCAATAGAAGAGGGGAGGTACAAAGGAAACCGTAATGTGTCGTGGAATATAATAATGGTAAGAAAGGGGTCGACATAAGCGACCAGCTGGCACAGTCATACCATGCAGCAAGAAAAACGAACAAGTGGTATGTAAAATTATTTTACAACCTGCTGGATATGGCCATAATAAATGCACACGCAGTGCACAAGTGGTTGGGAGGAAAAATGACACAACTAGAGTTCCGCCTCGACCTTATAGCTGAGTTGCTGCAGCGGCCAATGGGGATGACGAACAGGAGGCGAAGGAGCAGGACACCTCAGCGAGCGGCAACACCATCGCGATCTCCCCGGTCACCTTCCCAGCCCCGCTCAAATACTACAACACACAAGCTGGAAATGAACGAAGGAGGGAAGTATCGGCAATGCAAACACTGCCGGGAATCCACGGGGATGAGAACGATGTCACGCTATATATGACGACTATGTGACGTAGCTTTGTGTCCGAAATGCTATAGTGCATATCATGCACCATGAAAAAGATATAAAGTCTACGAATAATTTGTATATATTTATTTATGTATTGTTTTATATCTTTTATAAAAGAAATAAAAAATTGATGTAAAACTTTGTTTATGTAAACCAAACCTTGCATCCTCATCACAGATAAAAATGAAAATTATTATCATTGAACATGATATAAAACCATAATACAAAAGCTGTGTATTCCCCTATAATACCTGACATGAACAGTATGGAAAAAAAAAAAATTCAGTTTTCATCAATCTTAGTAAAAACAAGCAGCATTGTCCCCGGAAGTCCCCGGAATATGAGTTTAGGCCTAAGCGGTAGCCTCCCAGAAATGCACCTAGCACACGGGATCGTCGACCCGGAAGATTTGGGTTAAGTGTCATGTCAGAGATACCTGATGGTAGGAGGAGGCATTGCCGAGTTTGCTCCAGCAAGGGACATTGCCAGAGCAGTAGGAGGTACTTTGCCTACTGCAAC